ACCCTCAAAAAAGCTTCCTAAAATGCTCTTCTTGAGCAGTCGGGCCGCCGATCTCCGCAGGAGGCGGAGATCCCGCAGTCTTTGCGAAAATGCGGATCCCGTACGGACCGGCTGGACCGGTCTAACACATATCCTCAATGTCAATCTCTTTTGATAGCTTTTGAAAATTAACAATCTGTCCTACTGACGAAAGATTGGCAAAGTGATTTTCTGACCTTAATTTGCTTAATAAGCAATGAGAAGTCACCAGGTTCATTCATTAAATCAAAAAATACTCAAAAGAGAATTGATCCAAGCCGCTTATAAGTGAAAATTTACAAATGAAACAGAGAGCCGGTAACTAACTCTTCTTTGAATCAATTATGTAAAATTATTAACAGGTTGCCACTCCAAAACCCGAAGTCTGAAACTATGGTAAGTCCACCTTGCACATTACTCAGATTAAAAATTTAAGGACATTCTTCTTAAAATTATTTATGTACATATGGGATTTGAAAATTTTTTTTTCTCACAGTATGCTTTAGATACAACTGTTTGTAATGCAGGTTAACTAATCAAAGGAAGAAAAAAAAAATTGTTCCAAGAACAAAATATCTTCAGCTGTTTCTTGTCATAAGCAAAAGAAGCAACCAACAACATGATCCAGTCATTACTACTGCTATTCTTTTTTAGCGATACATGAGGATCACCTAGCGCAAGTCTTTTTGTAATTTTCTTAGAGGGCTGGTATCAATAAGACATTCACATAGCACGCAAAGGAATGGAAATAGGATGCTTCACAAATCCAGCCCAAATAATTGGCACAAAATATGAAGGGTGCCTGATTTGCTTAACCAAGGAACTTGGCCTTACTTGAATAGGAACTTTGAACATTTGCCTCGGAATAAGTTCCTTAAGTTTTACAGTCAAAGCTCTGCCCACACCATATGCCTGAGAATAACAAAAACTATGCCAAATAAGTTGATGAAATACAAAACAAATGAGGTATAAATATTGCAAAAAATAAATCCATCATCTTAAAAGTCGAGAAAAAAAATCCATTTGAAAGAATATGAACAAGTTTTGGAATAGATATTTGCATTATAAATTGATGATAGCATGCAAATAAAAGATAGAAATGTGGTTCTATTGTGACCTTAAGTAATAAATACAGATGATTTATTGCATGATATACAGAAGCAGTCAAAATATTTTGATTTCCAATGGGATTGCGATTCAGTGTGGAAAAAGAGAGAGTTTTAAGAGGGAAAGAAAATAAGAGAGAAAAAAGAAGAAAAGGATGTGGTGGAATATAGAGACATTGATAAGGGGATTGTGAGTTTATAGTGGATTAGATAACATGAGAGGCATCTATGTTGTCACTAATAGGAAATCAAGAGGAGCGGTTTGCAAAAGAGAAAACACGGGAGGAAATCAGGAGAGATATTGCGAGGTAGGGAGAAGGTTGTGTGTGTGTGAGAGAGAGAGAGAGGGCACTATTATGGAAAAATAATCCAATAATTCTTCATTCAATCAATAATAATAAGTCCTAGAAAATTATCAATGATAGAAAAAAGTCAGGGAAAAATTACAAATGAAATCTCCAAATGATAAAAAAAAGCAATTTCAAAAATACAAATAACAACATCAAGCCTTTATTCCATTGTGGGTTGGCTACATGAATCTTTTTTTCTATTGTGTCATGTTAAGAGTTAAATTCAAAAATACAAAACAAATATAAAATAAAATTGTTTGCTAGTACATCAAATTATAGAAAGAGCAGCAATCAACCCATCATCGATGTAGATCACATATCTTGATCCGATGGTCCCCATAAGTTCCCCCAGGATATGAAGCACCCCCTCCATACTCTCTTTCTCCTTTATATATCCTCTCTCATCTCACTATGTGGTAATCTCTCTTGCAACTTCTCACATTTTATCATAGAAGCCTCATTTTTATATTTCATACCCATAATTGAGTCCTCGATCCCTCCCGTGGGAATAATTATTACGTCCTCTGACCGGGAAAAATTATTACGTCCTCTACCAATAACATGTCGCCACGTGCTCTTACTCTTTACCGCGCGGCCTGACGACGTGACCCGGACCGGAACCCGGGAATGCTATGTTCGCGTACAACTCGATATTACTCGGTTTTGCTCGGTATTTCTTGGCAATAACGAGAAATACCGCTCTGTGAAGACCAATACCGAGCAATACCGAGTTGTACCGAGTTTTTATAGAAAAACTCGGTACAACTCGGTATTACTCAGTATTACTCGGTATTGCTCAGTATTACTCGGTATTTGCTTGGTATTGCTCGGTATTTGCTCGGTATTGGTTATTTCCGAGAAAATCGATCAATACCTAGCAATACCGAGCAATTCCGAGCAATACCTAGCAAAATCGAGAAATACCGAGTCATCCAAGGTCCGTTCCGGGTCGGGTTGTCGGGGCGCGCAGTAAATAGTGAGAACGCGTGGCACGATTCTACTGGCGGCCGAACGTAGAGCTACGTCCTATGACCGGACCAAATAAAAGTTTCTCCCGTGGCCCCTTCTTTCCTGTGATTCCTGATCCCCTTCTTATATCTCTATCTTCCATGGGCATCTTTCTCCTCTCTCCCTTGAAACTCTTCTATTCTACTTCTAAACTCCATTGCGCTCCAAATGGAAAGAATTTTTTTTATTCTCAACCCTACACTGCATCATTAGCTGCCACCAAGTCGTTACTCGGCCTTTTTTTTTACTAAAGAGAGGAGCACAGTTTCAAGCATTAATTCTGCATTTGGTTTTAAATCAAGTGGAAGAGCAATTATATTGTCGGTTTTGATAGTATTGAAAATTCTGGGCACTACTTTCGGACATTAGTTTCAGTTTCAAATTATGTTAAGAAAATAGAATTAATATGCTCTTAATATTAACATTTTCCATTATAAGGTTATATAAAGTTCCAAACTGCTGCTAGAAGTTAATAAAAGAAAATAATAATCATATAAAAACAATCAAATTATTAGAATAATTGATGATCCAATAAAAAAATAATTAAAGCAGTAATATCACCCAAAATTCTGATGGAAAAAGTTTCATTTTATTTCGTAAAATATTGTAACAGAGCACACAACCGGACACAAATGAGTAGTCAAGAACTCCATTTCCTGAGAAGTTTCTTTTATCCTCAATCCACATCCCTACTTACTTTTCCTTCTCTCTCTTAAGTAATTAAAATTAGTGTTGTATTCTGATAGAGACCACTTGAATATTCCAAGTGATTCCTATCGGATCTTCGCCAAAACACAATTATTCCGCTGTTTTCAATAGAAAACAGTCACCAAACAATGGAAAAACTGAGAAAATAGGGATAAAACGTTGGGAAAACAATAGTAACAATTGTATTCCACTAGCAGACAAACAAAACCAAAGCAAGATACAATGTTCTTCAATTCGAGAGGAAGAACAACTCTCCAACAATCTCCGGCAACGCCAAGAGCCCAAGCAAGAAAACCTAGAAGACAAAACTCATTCAAAATCCCGATGAAACCCTAATCCCCTCATAACTCCCTATTAATACAATCTAATTCAAATTAAAGGGTATTGATATTTGCTGAAATCAGGTAAGGGTATTGCTATTTGCGGAAATCAGGTAAGGGTTGCTGCTATTGTTTGCTGAAAACAATAAGGGAAAAGAGGAAAGAAAGGAAGGGAAGAAGAGAGGAAGGAGATTTGGGAGAGGGAAAGGAGAATTTTAGGGTTAAATGAGGAGTACAATTGAGGTAAAGTTGTACGGTTTTCATAGCCTATTGTATTTTACTTGAATGCATGTTTGAAAGGCAAAAAAATATGTTTTAGGTTGTTTATAAGCACAAAAGAGGCCGGAGTGTTTTAAGAAAATGAATTCATCCGACCACCCTAGAGGATGAGGTGAGATACCCAATTGTGATATATAAAATAGTAACATTTTTATGCAATTTTGACAACATTTTTATATGATTATGATAACATTAATTCCAGTTTCATCATATAATCATTTGCTGGTTCATTAGCTGAGTTACGAGATATTTATGTGTCCAATATGAAAAATGTAAAGCTTCATGAAAGATAAATGAAAAGGAAAATGAGATAAGTCATATATGGGGATAAGCCAGTACAAGTAAAGACAAAAGACCTGATGAGATAAACCTTATGAACCATACAAGAGGTACCCGACTCTCTCACTTCCAAAGGTTAAGAATTCAGACTCAATATTGAATGAGAGAGCTCTCATTTCTAAAAGTTGGGAATTCATTGAGCTTTAACTTATTAGTAGTGGTTGTACGGCAAAAAAGAAGGAGCTAGTGAGGCTTTAGGTAGGAGGTTGATTGCACTTTTTATGTACATATGCTTTGGTTGTGCATATAAATCAGAGTAGGAAGCTATACAGTCATATTTTTGGGTATGTAACTTTATTGGAAAGTTTAGTAAAGCTCTGAATTTCATTTATGTGTTTGAATATGCTTCCAATGATAAAATCTTGGGATAAATATTAAGACTTGAAATCCTGGTATAAGTTATTTCCTACTTGATCCTGATAGAAGTATTTCTGGATGGATGTTCGTAAAAATATATATATGTTCAAATTCTCCTTAGCTGTTATCCTCTAGGTAGACTAAGGGGGATCAAAATGGGGTGTGATAGAAAGTGGTATCAGAGCTAAATCAAATCAAATGGAAGCATAATTGGATTTAGAAATGAAGTAGGATAAAATAAAATGAAAATGATTTATACAGAATTATAGGTTGGATTGAAGTTGAAGTGAATTGTACATTCATTCTAATAAAGTTGAACAAGCATAAATGTATAATATGGTTTAATTCTTTAAAATGATCACAATAATTTTATAAATTATCTATTATCTATATATGTATATTTTCAGCTAAATATGCCGGAGGAATTGTCAGAAAGAATGACCGGTCACTTCTTAAAATCACTTGCATTTCTTTTTACAACCTAATCTCCATTTTTTTCGTTTACCAAAATCCATCTTTTTATTGACTATTCAGTGCCCACAACACATTTGAACAAATTTTTAAAACTGAAATGCTTTATTACTAACTTGCTTAACAAGAAATTAAAAAAAAATTAAAAATAGGCATAGTCACCGTTCATTTGTGTGACTAAGTGCTAATTTGGATGTCAGCTCACTTGAAGACAATCACTCACTAAATGGATGACTGCCTAATTCAAAAAAAATTTCGTTGCATCATTTTGTGTAAGCGCTCAGAGCTAATCGTTCAGATAATGGGTGACTAGCTATTTAATTTTTTTTTCATGCATTTTGGTGGTCAAAGTGATTGTTGTAATAACAGCTTTGCACATAGCCAGTCGCCCATCAACAGGCTCTTCGTCCCCCTTAAAACAAACCAACATCACAAATTTGAGCACAAGGCAGCTTCATATAGATAAAAGCAAATGAGTGGAGTTTTTTGTCAATCTGTCGAGAGCCAATAAGAGGTAATTTGTTTATAAATGGCATTGTTTTTATTTGTACATTATTTTGTGCTATATATATGTTTTTTGAAATTATATAAATATTTATTTGAACTGATTAAAAGTACAACCTTATCCTTTTAATTTCAACTAGTTAGTTGAACTGGTTAGAGTTTTTTGTCGATCCAATTTGCTCTTTTAATGGAGACAATGTATTAACACATGCTAAATAACTAAACTTATTAAGGAGAAAAAATTAATAAAATTATAAAAAAGAGTAAAACTTAAAAGCTCTAAGCTTATACTAATTTGTATGCTACAAGCTCCTGTTCTACAGTAAAACTTTGAAGTACTAAGCTTATGTAGAGAAGAAGAAAAGAAGAGATTGGAGAGAAAAAAGAACTGAAAAGTGAAGGAATAAGTCAACATAGAAAGATGGGAATTTTTTGTAGTTCAACTTTGTAGCATGCGGTCGTTGTGCTGTGATGGGGGCTAAAATGAACTATGAAAATGAAAAAAACTATCATACTATAGAAAAGGTCAAATGAGTAAAATCCTTGGTAGGTGAGAAATAAATGAAAGGTGCAATTGAAGACATGCTTTTTTACATGAGCTCATTCTTCATAATTGTATAGTCTTAGTAGATATACTTAAGTAACTTAACTAATGAGGAGGGGTTCCCATCATTGAGTAATTGCATCAAAAATTTTTTGATATAATTTTATTAAGTCTAATTAGATTAATTACATCATAACAAGTATATGATTATATTCTAAGTAATGATAAATAAGTACTTATAGTTAATTGATTAAACTCGATAACTTTTATGTTGCTAAATTAAATCATAATACATGCATAGTTTCTTAAGTTAATGTTTTTAATTAATAATATTATTTGAGTAAAAGATCAAAAGGGACCACTCAACTCATTGTGAGGGACCAATTTGGCTCATCAACTCTTTAAAATAGGACCTTTTTGGTCATCCAGTTAACTTTTAACAGAAAATTCAGATGTATAGAACAAACTGTAGGGGTATAACTGGCAAACAAAATTACATAACCTTCGACTTTCATTTAGACAGCAATAAGCCGTCGAATCCTTCAAACCCTCTAGGATCATCGAAACCCTAGCAACATCGTAAAGTGGCTTCAACACCCACGTCCCACAATGCAGAGATAGTTGATCGACCGCAGCGTCCCGCAGCGTAGGTGTCAAGCACAATTCAACCCATAGCATCATGTGCACGGGTCGACTGCAACTCCCGCAGCCCTAGCGAGCGTCCGAAGCCCTAGCTAACCATCGATTGAGCAATGAGTGTCAATCGCATCGAGCACAAAGTCCCGCAACCTAACCAGCTTCATTCGATCATGTAGGGATCGTCGATTGCGTCAACACAACAGGTCACAAGGATCACCTATTAACTAGAGAGCTTTGGAGCACAGGATTTATCTAAATTTTGTCATTACTCATTAGTTCAACTGCATGTCTTTTTGCTTTCAACAAAGGGAGATGGAGAAGCCTTTAATGAATGGAATTTAATATTCCATAGTTAATAGCATATGCTTCTTTAAAAATATTTTTGTTTTGTGATTTTTTTATTACTTCTTTAATCTACAATGTCTGTAATGAAACAATGAATTAATCTAGTAAAGATGTGAGAATTTTTACTTGCCATTTTTTTTTTCAATTCCGTGTAATTATATTTGCGTGGCTACTTCAAAATTGGAAATTTCTGCATGGAAGTATGCAAATTGAATCTTTTTTCACACCAATTTTTCTCTGGATGAACAAACAAAATTCTAATTAATGTGAGGAGTTGCAAGAGACACTTGTAGCCACATTTTGATTAGACCATTGAATTTGAGCCATAGAGCATCGTTGATTTATTAAAAACTTTTTGACTATTTTGATCCAAGAGGAAATCAAATTCAAATAGAAGCTATTTTTAACTTAATCACACATATTTTTACCAATCATATTTTACTAAATTTTTTTAAATTAAAACGAAAATTATTAATAATTTTTTATTAAAGAAATGTTTAATAAATTTTTTTAGAAAAAGTACAAGCACATAAAAATTCTAATTACTTGAAAATTATATTTAATAAATGTTTAGTTAAAAAATAACCTTAAATTTAACATCCTTAACTCAAACATTGGATGTCAGGACAAAAAAATGCCTCATTTTAAAGAGTCGAGTGACCAAATTGGTCGATCAAAAGAGTTTGGATCATTTTGGTACCTTACAAAGAGTCGAGGATCGATCAAAAGAGTTTGGATCATTTTGGTACCTTACAAAGAGTCGAGGGACCATTTTGGTCCATTTCTCAATATTCTTTATTAAAATTTATTCAAATTTTAATTAGTTAATATTTCCAAATTCTTAAAATCCCTCGACACAAGAATTGAATAAAATTGACAATTTTACATATATGTTTCCATGTTAAAATAAGTATGATCGTATTAAATTGAATAATTTTTTTATATTAGAGTGTCTATATATAGGCAATAGAAGACAGTAGTTAATGAAAAATATCCTGAATGATGAGGATATATTATAACAATAAATATTATTGATTCCTACTATAAATATTAAACATATATTTTAATATTTTTATGTCAATTAATAATTTCAATATATCTAATACCGAATCTAGTGATATTAAAAATTCAAATTTTACTACAATATTGAATCAAATGAGCAGACTAGTATAGTTAGCTCAACAAGCTTTAATGTATAGTGAAACAGTACAACATAAAAGGCTTGAAAAGCTGCTACAATAATACCAAAATTATCTTAATGTATGGAATTCTATTCAGTTTGCATAAAACCTACATCGAAAAGGATGGTTGGACATTATACATCACTTTTGATATTATACAGAGGTTAGTTGATGATTGACGAATAGTTCTTCCCTACGTATTTTGGTGGACGAAACATCCCTGCATTTGGTTTAACCTTCCTAATATTTGCAACCAAACAATCCTTAGTTGCATTAGAAACTCTAGACTTAAAACCATATCAAACGTCAAATTAGAATCAGAGCATCATCATTGAAACTAAAACCAAGGCATCATAACTTGACCATTCAAGACAACGACAATATGATTATCATGAGCATGCATGCTGTGCTTATTAATTGATCTTAAATTGGACTATGAAATTTGAGTTTCCATGTTGGAAAGTTTCACGAGCATTGTCATTTGGAGCTTCAAACCTAGTTGTTTGTCGGGCTGAATAATTGATTTATGATCCACTGGAGTTCAATCATTCAAGGATGTGTGTGACTACTAAAATACCATAGATGGTGGCCCTGTGTTTCTCACTACTTCTACTTATAAATTTCCAGTAAATTGTGATGTTGGTCATTGTAGCTAGACTATGCAACTTTTGAAAATGAAATTCATGCTATTCATGCTGGATTTTTTGGATGCTGGTCTACAATAAAAACAACAATATCAAGCCTTTATCCCCCTCTGTGAGGTCGGTTACATGAATTCTTTTTCTCCATTGTGTCCTGTTAAGAGTCAAATTCTCATTTAAATCTAAAAAAGAAAAGTCATTTCTAATATTTTCTAACCGGGTCTTTTTAGATCTACCTCTACCTTTCTTAACATAAGCCAAATCTAATATATACTCTTCTAGCCAAACCATCTAAAGACGACTCTCTCTAATCTTATCTTCCGCTGGAGTTGATCTAAGAAAATTTAATTATTATAAATATAAATATAAGGCCTGTAAATTAGGAATTTTTTTCTTAGTGAAGCTTTGACTTTCATTCAACCCTCGATGCTTCATTGGATGTTGACTGCAACTGCAGTACAAAGACGACTACCAATTTGCAAGGGAAATCATCTCCTTTTACCAAACTTAGATTGAAAATTTTTACATGGTGAATTCCTTATTCCTTTTCATCAAAATAAATTGTATTGGTTTTTGTTGTGAGTGTGAATAACTTTTTAGTCAAATTAGTCACAACTAGTTTCCTCATCGTGGTGTTAATTCCAATACACTTTGGGTTTTTAATGGTTTCAATTTCTCATTAAATTTCATTGATTTAATCGATCATTTTCTTTTTTTTGTTTTGCATGGATTTCTCATATTTTAAGTTCACATCAAAATAAAGCATGAAGATGCTTTAATTGGTAGTATTTTGAGCTGTGAATTTTCAATCCGAATTATGTGTTTTCATACAATATGCGATGCTATCACAGAGAATTCTAGCTGTCCTGCGTCAAATTTTAGTGAAAAATTCCTATACTTGCGGCTTTTGGCCACAAAAACTATGTGATATCAAAACTTCTATAAGTTTTTATTAAGTTCCACTTAAAACCAACCTACCACTCATCAAAATGATTAATTTCTGTAGAGGTATTGTAAATGCATTAGGAGGTGCACCAAAATAAATCTCTGAAGAGAATATTAGGATTATATTTAGGATAGTTTACTGATCAGGATAAAAAAAACTCAAAACATTCAATATCAGCGGAGAAAACTTTACTACTTATCCACCTATGCATGGTATTGACGCACCATTTAAGATAAAGAACAACATAAAGTTACGTAAGCTTAAAAACGCACAAATGAACAGCTTCTAATTACTTAACATGGAGATAGCCAATTCAAAATATAAAAAATAAAGTTAATTATTTACTCAACCAACAAAGCATTTTTTAGATTACCTTATCTTTGTGAACAATTGTAGCCAATGGCTCAACAGGTTCACCATTAATCCGAATATCCAGCTTTACCAAATCACTTTCCCTATACCTGTCAAAATAGCAATTGAATAGTGGATGAGCCTCATTTCACAGCTAGAGTTCCAGCTGAACTTGAATAAATTTGTCAGATAAGCATCTACAACCAGAAGAACCAGATTCTATTTATTGTATTCTAGAAACGCATAATCCTACTTTGATGTTCTAATACAAAGTGCTGCCTAAAATAAAAAAGGACTCGATAACGAGGCATTAAATTCCAATTATGGCTTGGTTCATGTGAGATACCCATCCTGCAAGTATATATAAAACACTATCAAAGAAGGAATCCTGTTGAATACATAAATGAGAAAAACATAAGAGTGCCATTATAAGCTGATGGACTGTCTGAGCCGGTCTAGCCAATCAGCCCGTCCCTAGCATGGGGGGCCAGTCTAGCTGGCGGGCGAAAGAGCCCTGTGGGCCCCACTAGTGTGGGCGGCGGGCAAGAAGAGAGGGGGGCTCAAAGAAGATTAATCATATCTTTAATTACTTACCATAGAAAATCAAAATTGGGATGGAATTAACAAGTTTATTTAAGGAAAGAGGACTGATTTGAATTCATATTTGGGAGGGAATTATGAAAGTTTATTTAGAATTAATTATGTTGTTTTATTTTCATTATGTGATTTAGAGTTTTGGGAGTACTTTTCTTTGGAGTTGTTCCATGCAGTGACTAGGGTTTGTGGAGAGTTGATCTATCTCTCAAATAGAACATTAACTTGTATCTTGGTTTGTCGTGTTGATATCAATAAAATTAGCCCATAATCTCATTCTTTCTTACTGATTTTTGCTGAGTTTCTATTTGTTCTTGCGTTTTTTTTTTGCAGTGTGGAGGTCGGATTCTTATCAAATTGATATCATAGCACTTTTTTTGGGACCTAAGCCAGTTAATAACGTTGATGCGTTGAAAGAGAGGCTTGACGGAGAAGTTGGAAATCTGAATTCGGAGAGCTTATTTCAACAATTGAGGGTAGATTTTCGAATCTGGAAGAGATGATGAAAAAGATGTTGAGTTTCAAGCCAAGTCAGCATCATCAGAGACAAGGGCTGTAAAGGCTGTTTTTCTCCCAGGATTGTCCGGGACGAAGTGGATCGTCTCGGGACAATCTGTATAGATTGTGAAGAAATCTGCATGTTCGTCTGTACGAACCTGGAAGGGTCGGGACGAACCGTCGGGACGAACCCAGACAGAGAGTTTCGTCCTGGGACGAAGAAAATTGGAATTTATTTTCGTCTGGACGATCTGGTCCAGAGGAGATCGTCCCGGGACGATCAGGGACATCGTCCGAGACGATCCTGCTTAATAAATATCCGATTAATGTCATTTTGAAGAGAGAGAAAGTCCAGGAGAGAGAAAAAGAAGAAAAGTGGATTTTTGGGCGACTTCCGTCCGTTTTCGTCCGTCGCCGTAATTGGAGAAGTTGACCGACTCGAGGTAAGGCACATTCCGCCTTTCTCAATTTTCAGAAACGTGGATTTTGATGACTTTTCTGTCTCGAATTTTGTTTCCGTTAGCGAATTTCTGGTATTATTTTCTTCTGATAAAAGTTTTATCGCGTAACATTTGGTATATTTCTTAGATGATAATTGTGCACGTTTTGAGTATTTTCTAGAAGAATTTTACCGGATATTCTGAATTCTGCGGCGTTTTAATTGAATAACAATTTATCTGGATGTCTGATATTATTACTTCAGTACAGTAAAAGTCTTATAATGTTGTTGTGGATATTCTGTGATAATTTGGTAAATTTATGGATCTGTGAATTTTGTGTAAATTCCGTATACTGCCGTTATGGCGCTGATTTTCCGTACGAATTCTGATTTTTAAGAATTGATTCATTGAATGAATTGAAGTGTTTGTATGCTATCAGAATGGAGTTATAAGGGGCCAGGATCCTTTGAGATTCTATAAGTGTCAGAAAAATCTGAAATGAGCTCTGAAATCTGAAAATAAGTTATGTTCCGGAATTCCGAATATTTGTTCTGTTCTGATGCTATAAGCACAAAGGGAGATATAAGGGGTCAGAATCCGTTGAGATTTTGTAAGTGTCAGGGAAGGGAGATATAAGAGGCCAGAATCCGTCGAGATTCTGTAAGTGTCAGGGAAGGGAGGCATAAGGGGCCAGAATCCGTAGAGATTCCGTAAGGGTCTGGGAATCTGAAATCTGATACGTTATCTGAAATCTGATGTTAAATATCTGATAATATGTTCTATGACTTATCTGATCTGTTTTATGAATTATCCGATATATGATTTCTGATTTCTGTACGATTCTGGTTATTCCGTACGATTCTGTCTGCTCTGTGACTTGAAAGCTTTATGATATCTGTGGTTATTCAGATGGGCAGAGTGCTAGTCAGGCAGCTCCGGTGAGTAGTACTGCCCCAGTGGTTGGTTCTGATACACTTTCTCAGTTTGCTACATTTGTTGCTCAGATGATGAGCGAGACTCTGAGTAGAGCCTCTACTGTTCGATATGAGGATGTAGATAGACATCTGCAGATGTTTCTGATATTGAAACCTCCGAGGTTTGAGGGCACTGTTGAGCCCAGAGTAGCTGAAGAGTGGTTGAGGAGGTTAGAGAAGACTTTTGACGGTATGCAGTGTCCGTTGGATAGAAAGGTATTGTTGGCAGTTTTTCTGTTGGATGGGGAGGTTGAGCGCTGGTGGATCGGCCAGCAGGAGGAAAAGTTCCAATGAAAGCTAAACTCTCTGATTTCTTGAGAAGAATTTTCTGAGGTATTTCGATCGTGGTTTGTACCTCCTTATGCAAGACAGCAGATACAGGAGACTTTTCTGAGGCTAGTTCAGGGGAGCAGGATTGTGATGCAGTATGAGGCAGAGTTTACTGCTTTAGCCTAATATGCTCCGCAGTTGGTAAGTACTTCTGCTGAGAAGTGCTACAGATTTCTGAGGGGACTACGAGATAGTCTGAGGCAGCCTTTGGTACCGTTTCATATTTCTGATTTCTTTGAGCTTGTGGAGAGAGCTCTTCTGATAGAGAACGATTTCATGGCTACTCAGCAGCGGTGGACTGCGAGTAGGAAGAGGTTTGGGGGTGATGCTTCTAGCAGTGGTTCCTCTGGCAAGAGGAGATTTGTTTCTGGAGACTCAAGGAGTGGACAGTCAGGATCCACTACAGTTTCTGGTACTGCCGCTACCAGTACGACTAGTTCTGGATCTGTCAGTGGGGCACCTGTGTGCCAAAGTTGTGGACGACGACATTTTGGCCAGTGCTACAGGATGACTGGTCAGTGCTTCAAATGTGGTCAGCAAGGACATCGAATTGCAGAGTGTCCACAGGCTGGATTTGATAGACGATCTGAGTTCCGATCTGATAGTAGACCTGTTGGTTCAGCAAGAAGGCCGAGGACTGTTCCTTCACGTACTGTGACTGAAGGATCCTCTGGTAGAGGTGGTGGGTCGAGTTCTGTGGCACAGAGACCACCTACTGGTAATCAGCGGGAGTCTAGTGGTTCAGTAGCTCGAGCTCCAGTTCAACCACGTGTGTACAATTTGAGTCAGCAGGAGGCTCGAGATGCTCCGGATGTGGTGACAGGTATGATTTATATTTCTGAACATCCCTGTCGTGTTCTATTTTCTGTTTGATTATGGAGCCAGTCACTCGTTTCTTTCCGAGCGCTGTTTTGATGCTTTGCATCTGAATTCTGTTTTACTACCGGTTTCTATTTCCGTTATTTTGCCGGCTGAAGTAATTTGATTGCCTGGAAGTTTTGTTTCTGTGAGCTTGATATTTTAGGCAAGAAATGAAAGTCGAGTTTGATTTTATTGCCGATTTTTTCTTACGACGTGATCTTGGGTATGGATTGGCTGAGTCTGTATGAGGCTCAGATTGACTGTTTGAAGAAACAAGTGAGCTTGCTTATGGATGGTGAGAGATGTGTATTCCAAGGATTACGAGATGTTCTATCCTGTTTGATTTATGTGTTGGAAGTTAAAAGAATGTGGCCCGATATTTTTGGTTTCTGTACTGGATATGAACCTAAATGTGGGTTCTATTTCTGATATACCGGTTGTACGGGAGTTTTCTGATGTTTTTCCTAAGGAGTTGGTTGGTTTACCTCCGGATAGAGATGTTGAGTTCTGTATTGATATTTTTCCGGGTACAGCTCCAATATCAAAAGCTCCGTAGAGGATGGCACCAAAAGAACTTTCTGAGTTAAAAGTTCAGCTCCAGGAGTTGGTGGAAAGAGGATTTGTTCGTCCTAGTGTTTCTCCTTGGGGAGCACCTGTACTGTTTGTGAAGAAGAAGGACGGAACACTCCGTATGTGCGTTGATTACAGAGATTTGAATAAAGTCACGATCAAGAACAAGTATCCATTACCACTGATTGATGACTTGTTTGACCAGCTTTCTGGTTCTTCTGTATTTTCAAAGATTGATTTGAGATCTGGATACTATCAGGTGAAGGTGAAGGAAGCTGATGTGTTGAAGACAGCTTTCAGTACTCGGTACGGACACTA